GTTTTCACTGATATACTGACGAATGATTTCACTTAGGACAAACACACTCCAAGATGGCGTCAAATGTGTGAAGCTTGCTCATTTGTGCAATATGCATCACATTAGCGAGAAAATATAATCAATTGAAGATTTTGAATTGCACTGAATATCAATTTAATTCTAGGATATTTCTGGTCATTACAATCTAAAGTGTCAATTTACATCTTATTATAAATTTACTCAAATACTTCAGAATTTTGCATTAAACTTTCGTTCTCGCCCCCAAAGTACGGAAGCTGACGTATTGATATGATCAGGTTTTACATGTTTGTTGATTCCATCACTTACGCTATACATGTGGTTATCGGACACTCTTTAACAACAAAAAATTCTCATTAAGATTTTTGCAATATTGTTTCAATTAATGACATGTAATTAATCATTATCTTAATATGTCCACTTACACCTCTATCAAAACCTTTCTTATGAAAGATTTTAACCGCAGTTTTGGCCATTTTTTTAATTGCATGTACGGTTTAAGAAGTCGCAAATAAACAGGGTAAAAAACGTTATGAATGTCAAATTTTGCTTCGCTGTGCTTGGCTCTATACGGTTTGAATTTGTCATTTTTTGTCCGGTTAGAGGGCTCGACGGGATGGGTATAGGATCGATTAAGATTCTGCGTGAGCGGGTCATGTTGAAGTAAGGTGAAACAGTGATATTAGCTACAGCAGGAAAATACTGTGTTGTGAGCAAAGCAAAGCAGCCTAAACTAAGGGCAAACAAAACTGCCTATTGTACCAAAACGAGCAACTACCCCGCCACCTTGAAACTTTGAAAAGTACACAGTGCATGTACGAGCTACAATTCATTTGCTTTCAGTGGTTCTTTCTTAAACATGTATGTGCCCCTTGGGATAACTGTCAAAGATTTTCCCCCAGTTACGTTATGATCAAAATGCTAAATACGTGTATTGCCAAGACGACGCATGGCAAATAATTGTCAATTTCGAACCATGGAGCTGGGTTTGAAAAACACACGCCCACATAAACTACTTTGGCTAAGTGTTTTCCCGTGATAAAATGTGAGCCCTGAGGCAGAAGAAAACATACCAGCTATAAGCTCCCCATTCTATTCCACACAACAAAAGACTAAGTTGCAGCCCCTCAAAACGGTAAAGGATTTTCCATTTTCTGTCGGGAACGTGAGGCTTTTCAAATTTAGTTTTCATTCGCTCCACACCTTGAATATTGTTATCAAATGCCGAAATATTTAGCACTTTGGAGGGGCGACCCTGGGAAAAAGCAGCGTTCCCGTTTCTAAACTCCCTTTTCGGGGCAATGAATTTAAAAGAATGTATCATGCGTGAGAAAGTATAGCTTATGCCTCAAGCACAAGGTATTTTGGCAGGAGAGAAAGAAAGAAACACCCACTTCAAAGAAAATGTTTAATTCCTCGTTATCTCACATCATTTCTTTACGGTTGAGGGTAAAATTAATCAGAAAAACAAGGCAACACTCTTAATCATCGAACAGGCAAGATCCGCCGATTGTTCACTGTAATTGGAGCAGTGACGTTATGCTTTAGTGAAGGAAGGCATTACATAAATTTATGCTGGAAAATATTTTAATTGTGAATGACTCTGGTCGGATTAACCTTTCCAAAATCCCTGAGGATATTAGTTTGTTACAGTATCAAGTTGAAATGTACAAAAATATAGCAGGTGTGATGAGTCATTGAAGTAAGCACAATTGAGACGAATTTCAAACTCCTTTCATTTTATCGCATTCATATCGATAACCTTTCACTTTCAAGGAGGAGTTAAAGTGTTCATGTAATATGACACTTGCTAAACTTCAAGTCATTCGAGAGTCTAAAGGAGGCAAAGATGTTGCAACTTCTTTTCCATTAACATGGGTCGCAATCAGCTAACACAGAGTGTCCTCTGCGAATACTTTTCTCCTTGGTTACGAGCGTACCCAGTCACCACAAATACTCTACTTTTCTGTAGTCAACCGAACCATCTTGGACAATGATTGTAACTTTATGAGCAAACTACTGCACATGCTTATTGTAGGCCTAAAACCTAGGCAGAGTACATTTTTGCAATCGTAAAGATACGTAATTATTCACCTGACTGCATTGTGAACATATCAGGCCTATTTATTACATACATTTCATGGGAGAAAGGGAGAACTAAATAGGATTTATACTGACATTTCAAGTGAAACTTGGTCCCGAGCCCTCTTTGTCTCGTTGTCCCAAAACAATTATTGTTCAGTCAAGCATGACCGTGTGTGAATGAATAACATATCATTGGAAAGAAGGACTCTGTGGCTTTAAGGTGTCACTAGGCATTTTGGTGTGAAACTAATACAATCTCCAAAAAATCAAAAGAAATTTTGTTGCGTCTTTTCTTTGGTTTGGTTTGGTTTGGTTTGGTTTGGTTGGGTTGGGTTTGGTGGGATGCGCTCTGTATAACCTTGCGCCAACTTTCGCATTTATAATTCCTGTATACATGAATGCATGAGCATGCATTTTGCCACTAGAGATCATAAACATCTATGGATATGATTTCCCTAAACTGTCTCTGAATCTGGGTTATACCTTGACTGTATGATGTATCGTCATAGTTTTGGCATTCACATCATGTTTGTTTACCTCCCGACAGTTGAGACAACATTAAAAATGTTGCATGGAACTATGAAACAGGTATTTTCTCCCAACCCTTATCCAAACAGGTATACCTAAACCCACATTATGTAAACACTAACACGGTTTGCTTTCAAACGTATGTAGAGGGTGTGGAAACTTTAGAAAGGTTTTATCGGTCGACCTATTCCTTTTTAATGGTAATCTAGAACCTGAACCAACCAAAGTAGGTGAAAGGTATTTACGCGACACAAACACTATCTGAAAGAGAAGTTTCTGAGACCCATCCTGGCTCATTGTTGAACTTACCCGCCAAATAATGTACCATACACAATGGTTTTTCCCAGGTCATTTATTAGACTTGACCCAGTCTCTTCAGACAGATTCTACATACCGGTACACTCTAATCTGAAGGTCAAACGTTTTATTTTAGGCTGTTTATCTACAGCTAAATAAGTGAAAATCGCCAAACTGACGTCTAAATGTATATTACATTAGAAGTCGTAAATGGCACTGAACACTAAATTAAGTCTAGTCCCCGCTAAATCAATTTCGACTATGGAGTCACTGCAGTCACAGGAGAGAGAGGGAGAGACATTGACAAGTGCCAGTAAAATAAAAAGCAAACTTGAACGACGTCTAAGTATGTATATAAGCATGCGCACATGACATTAGGTGATATCAAGTTGGAACAACAGTGTTTCGTAAAAGTTCAGTCGGCCTTATTTTCACATGTAGACTACTCAGAGCTTTACCTTAATCACTGCTTCGTTTGGTTAATTTTTTCGCCATCTTCAACATGTTTTTCGGGTTCTGTAGACATTGGCGGAGTAGGAGAGTTTTCGGGGTGCTGCTACGAACTTTGGTATGGCTACAACTCTATGAAGTCATCATGGGTACGTCTGGAAACCCTTTCAATTGACTAGGATCACGGTCAGAACATAATCTGCTCAACACGAAATTTAAATCATTAAGCTGTACACACACATACGTACATTACAAAAGGAGGGATACAGACATTGCTACACACTTCCACTTGTATGTGCAAGTATCATCAGATTTTTTTTAAGGAATGCTGCTTCGTTTTGTTCCTCGTTCGGAGAGTTTTATAAACCTTTAACATTTACAAGACACAGTGCTTTTTATCTTCTGTTTTGACAGCACAAGCAGACAAAGGATGCCCAGAGTTTACGTGTAGTCCTCCTCCATCTTCCTTCTCGACCAGACCGAGAATCGGTGAAGAGTCATGCTATCAATACGGTACGTTACTCACAGTGGATTGCCAGATTGGGTTTGAGCCACGACGGGGACCTGAAAGCGCATTCAACGTGGTTTGCTATCGAGACAACACATGGCAATGGTCGGATTCCTGTGTAATAGGTAGATTCTTTATCAGATTTTGACTATGGTCATTATATTAAAAAAAAATACTGTGAGTAAATTAACAGTTAATATTTCAGATTTTTTTGAGCTTGTAATGTCGCCGTTAGGTATTTTCCTTTGATACCAACATGTCAAACAGGTCAAGAGGTTCTCTTTCAGGGAAGCCGATTTAAAAAAAGAAATTCAAAGCTGGGCTTTTTAACTTTACAAAAAAGCAGCCTGCGTTTACTGACCGAGGGTTTGGATCTTCTGCCATTGTGAAGTCACTCTTTAGGGATAAGTCACATGGTATGAGTCCGGGGTAAGTCTGGTGGTGCAAAAGGAATTACTTCTAAGCCTAATGTGTGACTATTGTCTTACAGATATTTTCTCAGTCATCATAGCCGGTATAGTAACATCCCTTGTGGTCTGCACCTTCTTTGTGGTTATGTACTGCATCTTCTGCAGGTAAACAACTTCTTCATTCAGGTCATCATGTTGTGTAGAATAATCAACAAACTGGTCATACAAAAACCCCAAATAACTCAACCCAACTATCACCCATATTGGGACAATTTGTGATTAGCATACATGACTGTGAATTTGCCATTTCAACTGCATACCCGCACCAACAATTTGTCATACTTTCAATCGTCCCTTTTTACATAAAAGGTTTCTGTAAATTGTAACTGAGCTACAAAAATGTTGTTAAACAAATAACTTTGATGAAGGACAGTCTATTTAAGACACAAGTTAGCAGAATTGGTACAGACTACTCTAGCATTGGATGCATTAGATAGGGCAACAATCGTGTAGGTTCGATTTGTATTTCACGTTTAGTGCATGTGATACATTTGCATTAATTTTGTCTTGAGTCAGATAACTGAATTCATTCCTAGGAAAAAACAAATCAAACCATAATCTTTTTGATACTAATAACTTCTGATAACTGAAACAAGGAAGAAGATGATTTCTATGAACACATGATTGTTGAACAGTTTTCCCTCTTTTTCATTGTTTCTTTTTAGGAGAAAACGTACAGGAAAGGGCAAGGATGCAAAGAATGCTCAAGACCAAATTGTGGATGGCACATAGGAAGTTGCACAGAAATCTTAATTGCTTCCTTTCCACATTACAGTGGTTTTCATTGATATTAAAGTGCAAAGGTCACATCAGCTTGATCCTTTGACAATATATGTATTTTAATAAGCAATCCGGAAGCTGTTATATTTTATTTTAATTTGAATGTAAAACCAGTCTTTTATGTGGAGCTCCTCAAACCTAAACAATGGTATGGTTATCCAATCTTAGACTCAAAATATAGCTATGCTTCATTTTCTTTGCGAAATATACCTGTAAAGTTCAATACGAATTATGTAATTTAATTGAGGTCTAGTGCTAGTTCCGATATATGTCTTGTTTAACCTACTTTTCGTTTTGTATTAATCTCATGCTGGTGTAAATTCCATATTAACGAACAAAAGTGCGATGTCATCCAACGCAGTGATACAGCGACTTTTTCATACACGGGAATTGGTTATAATTTATAAAAAAAGACACATTGAGAAAAGAAAGTTGCACAAAACATCTGTCATGTTCCCAAATAATATTCAAATCATGGACCCTTTCGATAAGCTACTGTTGTCATAGGTGTACTTGGGTGACCCACACATTTCTCTGCAATGTAATTTAGAGTATCCAGTAGAAGAAATTTGTTCCTGTGTTTGTTATGTAAAATTTCGATATTTTCGAAGAAAACAACAAGCGTTCCTGGGTGTACACAAGCAAAATCTTGTTCCCACATTACGGAAGAAAAATATTGGATTAGCACCCTCATTCAGCTAACAAATTTTAAACTTTTTCTAAAAATATTGTTCCATAATTTTTGTTCTATAATGGGCGATATAACTTTGGATTGGTCTCTAACGAACAGTCTCAGATCTCATTTCGAAGTCGGGAGATCTCCGACAAAGCTACTAACACTCCTGACAAGGCGATTGGCAAAACGTGTTCGAATTTAAACTAAGCCTGTCAAGGTCAGCTTGATGGAGGTTCGAATCCAGCTGCGGTAGTAAGTTGTGACCGTTGGCAAGCCACTTCACCCCGCGGCTTGCCTCTCTCCATCCAGGAGTATAAATGGGTACCGGCATTAGCTGGGAAGTAACCTGTGATGGACTGGCGTCCAATCCAGGGGAATGGAAATACTCTCAGTCGTTTCATGCCAAGAAACCGGATATAAACACCGGCCTGATGAGCCAAACTGGCCTCGGACTAGACTTGCTTTGTCAAGCCATCGTACCGACTAAAAGGTAATGGAAGGTTCCTGTCATAAAGCGGTCCATTTCCAAATCTGCTGGGCATTGAGGAGTGGTTCTATGGTTCTGCTTTCACTTCAGAAGTTGTGAAGTGACTGATAATCACATCACCCTGAAAAGACAAATGAGTTTTATGATCCACGCTTACTCTATTTCGATGCTCATAACAACACAACTTCGAAAAACCCTTCGTATTAATGGAATATCCTGCCTTTTCAATCGTGAATAGACGGTTTTTTAATGGGAAGTACGACGTGTTTTTGTTAGGAAATTGTTATTATAATGATTTAATGCAGCGACGTGTTTGCTTGGTTGAGGCTGTGGACAAAATTTAATATCAGACACGTCTATAGCTATCCTAAGTAAGCCCATGGAAAAGAGAAATTATACACGTCAAATTATCAAATAACAAAACACATCCATACACTGCAGCGGCACCACGAGGAAGTGTACAGATGCAGGTCATGGCAGAAAGTCGACCCGGGGTTGGGCGAGTATTCGCCCGGTGGAATCCGGCGGCGTTTGTTACACTTTACCTTGGACTTTTGTGCATGGATTCGGGTAAGTTTTTGGTAATTGGTGGCCATTTTTCTTTGATACTAAATTTTGTCCATGTTGACAATGATGTAGGAAACCCATCACTGCCGAGTATTGGTCTGATGTGCTTGCACTTGAGACCTGTTTCTAATTAATTAGTTCCCAATGTAATTGCCAAAGAGCTTCAAATACGGAAGTGGAGTGTTTAATTCAATAGTGTGAACTGACACAGAGAACTAGACAAATTCATACGTGAATTGAAAGGTATTGTGGTTTCTGACACTAAAATACTCAACAACATTCAGCAGTCGTCAACTTCAGTACAGAACCTACATGTTAATTCTGAAGGAAACATTTCTATTCTAACGGAAAATTAGTTGACTCCCGGGTTCTTTCATTCTGCAGCAGGTAAACGTAGATTTCAATTCTCTTCTTCAGAGTTTCGTCCAATCACTTTTTTCGAGAGTTCAAAGTATTGTTGTACAGATGAGTTATTGCTCATTGATGAGAATGTAAACAATGTGACTAGTTCAAAGTGTAAAACAAACCCAGGAAAATCGTAAGGCAATCTTGACAATCATGATACATGTATCTGGAGATAAAGAGACTCAGTCTCAGAGAGTATCTGAAAACTGCTGCTTAAACTTAAGACTTAAAATAACCTTACAATTATTCAAAAGCAAAATGTTTTTGTTCTGAGTAGCAACCAATGTTTCAAATACTAACACTATAATTATGCAGCAGTGTTCTCAACAATTACCGGTGATGAAACGCTGTCCTGATCCTATCCCCATGCTATGTATGCAAAACCAAAAGGAAAATTGTCAACACTCCAACTAAGCCTAGATCCCTTGTCAAATCTACATTAATTTTGCAACAGCATGAGTAAGCCAGTGTCCACCTAATGTGTCCTCGTTCAAAGGACATCATTTCCCCTTAAGTTTGTTTTTGTGTGACTCTTGAGCTCTTATTTATAAGTTTAACTAACTGTCAAAGTTCTGCCCGTAAAAATAATTTGTTCTACTTTTCTTTCTCATAATAGCAAATTCGCAATGTCCTGCCGGCATGTGTGAGCGCCCTCCATCAACGACAAGCACCCAACCCACGAAAGATAGCATGTGCTACAAGTGTGGTGATTCTTTACTTATAAACTGCAATCCGGGATTTCGGCAGAATGGGGATAATTACATCGCCAAGTGTGAAAACGAAGTCTGGACACCAGACAACGGTTGCCAAATAGGTAGGAACAGTTTGAGTCCAGAACCTTTTTTATCAGTGTTGGATTTTTCTCACGTCGCAAGCATTGATCCTTCAGTGGGAATCTGATGAAATCACCAGGAGGTATATTAAATGGTCTTATGACATCAACCTATTCAGAATTGTCCTTTCGTAAGAATGCACAGGAAATTGTAAATTTGTTTTTAAGAATGCAACGTTAACTGTACATTCAGTTAAATAAATGGACAGTTTAACCGTCATTTTATAAACAGAGACTTGGCAACGTAAGGTTTGGAGCAAATGGAACATAAAGGCGTGTTTGCTCATTATTTCGTACCCGCAGGCTGTTTCCAACCATGATATACGTTTCCTTGTAAACCCTTTTTTTAGATCTCTTCACAATACTGGTAGCCTCCAGTGCGTCTTTGGTAGCGATTCTGATCTTTGCCTTATTCGTTCTGTGCATTGTGGAATACAGGTAAGATTCAGTCTCATGACGCTGTGAACAATATTTTATTGAAATATATATAAGGCAGAAAACGCGCCAAGTAAAATTCAAATAGAGATTTGTCATAAATGGAATAGACTCTAACGTATCTAACTTCAACTTGACAACATTTAACTTTGACAAGAGCTTAATCGAATAGAAGCCCCGTTATCAGGAATGACGTTTACAGTTAGCTTTTTTGACGCACACTTAATCCGTATCTGATATTGAACGATATGGTTCCATTCCAATGAACTGTATTTGGGCTCTGACAGTTTTTGAAAGGAGCAAGGAAACTTCAATTTTAAAGGGTAACAGAAATACAAAACATTTAGTTCACGTGAAGTATTTAAAAAACAATAAACACGTAACCATTTCAAAAACATCGTAAATTTAATGTTTACCCCATTAATTGTGACAACAAAATGAAAAAAAAAACATGCTTCCCCCATCCCCTTTTGGCCGTTTGCGCTCCCAGGCTGATTGGATGACGTCTCGCCAGAACGTTGCCATGTACAGTGTACATATACATGTACATTGTGAACAGTACATGCAGCATCGCACGTTTCGATATACCATAGCTTGGCCCTCAGGCAATACTTCATGTGAACTAAATGTTTTCTATTTCTGTCAGGAAAGGGCATATTCAGTTTACTCTAAAAGTAAAAATTGAAATGTCGAGGTAAGACAACAGTTACAAGTAAGCAGTCATTTAAGGTACAATGTACTGCACCCGATAGAGGGATGGTCCCACACCTACTATTCAACTTAATAAGGAAAGAAACCTAAGAAATATTTGGCATGCATACTATATTTGGAAATGATAGGGACGTCTCCTTTAATGCTGAACACTAGTCTATGTATTCTTTCGAGGGACTTAAGCACCAAGTAAAAGTAACAGCTGGAGGGGCTCTTACTCCCTCTACATCCGTGGCTAATCTACGAAGGTGTCGACAGGATTGGATACAGTGAAAAAAGACAACGAAACATAACAGAATCTTAAATTCCGAAATGAGATAAATTGCCCTTGTTTTTCAGATTCTCTCCAAAGAAGCGTAAACATCACGAAGTGTCCAAAGCCAACGGGGAAAAGAAGAGACGAGCTCACCAAAACACTGGTTGTGAGGTCGCCAATGGACAAAAAATCGGAAAAAAGCCCGTTAATGACTCTGAGGACTTTGAGGACGATTTCACTGATGACGAAGAAACGTACCATAACACCACTGTTTACGAAAATCAACAATTCTAAGTCACGTTTTGATAAAGCATACAACTTCGGCTTCTAGATCATGCAATTATAAAACAAAGATAATTTAAAAGTTGAAATAATGGTCCTATTTTGTCTTTTACATAAATGAATTCATGACATAAGAGCAAATACAGTAGGTATTACTTGTGCTAGATTAGAAGTCACAGTATAAAGTGTACGCATAAGACGACCTTTCCCTTATTAATACTGGAAGAGTTGGATGGGAATCATCGCTTTTCTCTCGCCATAACGCTCTTGACAACAGCCTCACAGCTACGTCGTTATACTCAAATTCATGAAACAAAACTTACAGCAACCATTAGTATAAACAACGACACCATGGGCTTAGAAATCAAGCAACCGGCTCCATTTGAGTGAAAAAAAAGAGACAGACTTAGCTAGGCCGATTTACATGACAACAAATTGAGCTGGAAGCTCACGGAACGATATAATAATGCTTCTGACAATTCTACAATATCACACATTGTAGCTCATTGAACTTAGTCTGCGTTGACCTTGGTCCTGACCCAACTTTAAACTCAACACAAAGTGGCATATTATCCCACATTTTTTCAGTCGTTCTGAACAAACTCCAAAAATGGCACCAAGCAACTTGTGCGTCAGCTCGAGCCGTAAGCACAGGAAAGCTTATGAGAGGTTATTTTGAAGACAGCCTGCGTATGTCAGTCATTGGAAACGAGCGAATTTTGGCTTAGGCAGAAGTATATATTCCTACTACTTGCCCTAGGTTCCTGCAAACGTCTGTGTATGGTATATTACACGGCCAGTCAACAGGTAAACAAACGTGGAATCAGTATAAACCAAAGAGCAAGCCTACATTACAATCCATGTAACTAGTGTTTAATCGGAAATCAGACACTGGTGAGGCTTACCCCCATATAAAGATACATGTTTATTTCAAATATGCTCCTGGAGAACTGAAATAAGAGGAACCCTTTAATGTCTATAATTCAGTTGAAAATTTAATAAGTGAAACATAATAGTCAATTACAAGGTAACTGTTTTCAAGATGTATTTTTGCGTTGGGGAGATGTTAATTTATGTAACGAGTTTTGCCCTTACCCAGCGTATATATTAATAAACACTGTTTCCTCATCAGTGCTTGCCCGAGAGCTTACGAAAAAAGTCACAAGCTTACTTGGGTGAGACTCGAACCCACGACCTCCTGTTTACTAGTGCAGACGTCTGCCTTATTTTATATTGATTTTTGAATATTTTATTTTTCCCCCTATGTTTTGTACAGATTTTTCTAATTAACACTAGTGAACGGGTAGTCTCTTTCTTTGGCGCAAGATTACTATAAGAACGAAAGAAAATCGGGTACTTTAAGCTCTGTTATTTGATTTAAAATATGCCCAAGAGTCCAGATATGAAATAATATTTCATAAAAATTGTTCAGTTTAAGCGCAAATGGCGTGACTTCAACTTAAACGAGCAGTGTTTCTGCAAACAAGTTTATTGCCCATAGACTTTGTACATGTTTTAAAGCCACTATTTTGAAACCTTTGCGATGTTTGATCGCTAATAAAGTGATGGCCAACAAAAACCCGGATACAAAAATTATTGTAAACAAATGACGTCATGATGATTCATCATGTGATTTAGTATTGATTTGTTAACATTTGTACACGTTTTCAAGCCATAATTTGGGTAATTTTGAGATGTTTGAGTTAATGACAACAAAGACCCTGATGAATGAGTTTTGCTAAATTTATGACCTTATGATGATGTCATCAACTGTTTTTAAATTGATTTTTGGATATTTAATCTTCTTTTATAGGTTTTGTACACGTTTGTCAACAGCCTGTCTTCGGCACTTTGGCCAATCTGAATTATTTCCTTCAATGTTCACTTGAAGTCCCTAATGAAGAGAGGCTCCCAAAGAAAATTTGTCAACATGACATCATCAGGGGTCATGTAACATGAGATTAAACTTGCAGTTTTCTCCATAGGTTTTGTACACGTTTTCTGCTACGCAATATTATCGATTTAATGAGAGTTGTCCTGAAGTTCGGCTGAGGATTACTATGAGAACGAAAGAAACAATTACACCCAAGAGTCCGAATATTAAATGATATATCAGAATTTTTTCAATATATATGCTAATCAGGTGACATGACATTAAAGCTGCAGGTTTTCTCCATAGGTTTGTGAACTCATACATCTGAGTGACTTTGTTTTGGGAGCATAGGTAGTCCATCTACCCGTGGGGCTGTCAAAATAAAATCGTCACAGTGGCGTCATCAGGAGTCACATGACATGAGATTAAACTTGCAGTTGTCCCCATAGGTTTTGGACACGTTTTTCAACTGCGCAATATTATCGAGTAGTCCTGAACTTCGGCTGAGGATTACTATGAGAACAAAAGAAAAAAAAAATTCGTTTTCGTTCGATTACAAATATACTCAAGAGTCCGAATATCAAATAAAATTTTAGAATTTTGTGCACGTTTTTCTGAAGTCGAAGACTGGTACACACTCATACATCTTAGCATTTTTGAATTGGGAGCATAGGTAGTCCATCAACTCGTGAGGCTGTCAAAATAACATCGTCACGGTGACGTCATCAGGAGTCACGTGACCTGAGATTAAAGTAGCAGTTTGTTCGTGATTACGAAACAGGAGAGTCACTCAATTTATAGATTATACAAAAACTTAAACAAGTCATCACACTAAGACAAAACTGGCAGACTGAACATCAACTAAAAAAGACAGGCAAACTATGCGTATGTATCAATTTTTGAACAAAGACTCTTCCCTGAAAAACCACTCTCTGTAATATCCGTAAATAAAATATTGAAGGCTCTTCAGGCATTAATTTGTTAAAGACTCACGCTGTTTACAAAACATGGACCATACATACAGAATAATCGAGAACGACCGTTTTATGACCAGTCGTTGGCACTTTCCTAAAGTGCCTTCAGAATCTTGAGAAGTGCGCTCATTGTGCACAGTCACAACACACATTGATCAAATAATATGTGTGCCTACCACATTGAAAACATGACGCCATCATGCAGCACCGGATTTTAAGTCTGTTTGCCCGCAAGCAAACGCAGCAGGCCTGGAATCTTCTGTATCACTTTTCTGTTGATACGTCTGTCTTCACGAAACAAGTAACTTTGCTACGTAGTTATTTGAAAGCAACTTGCTTTGAGCATACTTTTCCCAACATTGATTGTGTTAATTTTATCATTTCAGTCAGAGAAGCAGAAGTGATATGCCCCTTCAAGACATAAGCCAGATCTCGACAATTACCACAGGGAGCCACACCGGCAACCCAGTTGAAAATTCCAAATTACCACCAGAACCGGAGGCAAGACTACTGACAAATACCCATGGGCACCCAACTGAGAATGCCCAACTGCCACTCGTATATTTGTACGTGTCAGATGATTCAGATACTATGGTAACGTTTGTTTAAATGTCATGCACCTTACTTTGGATATATCAAATATTAACCAACACCTTTTTCAACTGTTTTCCAATGACGCCATTTAGACATTCATCGCAGGAAACGGTCTGCCAGACAGATTACGAAGTGATGGTGAGCGAACATACAACAGATCATTTGTCGAACAGGCCAACCTCGGCACCAAAATAAGCAGCATCTTTACGAAACAAAGATAAAAGATCAGGATGTGGCCGTAACGACCTTGTCAGTGCTTACGAGGTATAGTCACGCCGTTATGCTGAATTTGCTCGATTACTAATGCCAAACCATGTATGCTATAAGATTTGTTGAAGGGGATGAAATGTACATGTACTTTGGTTGCAAGCTGTGGTAAGATGAGATTGTTAGGTTGTTATGTTTGCTAATTATTACAGTTATTTTACTTGAGATAATGTTCCGGCTGTAGGATACCGAGGTGAATGTCACACGCACATTAATTATTATGGGTGTAAAAGGCGTAAAAGGTGTAAATTCGGGAGAACCAGTGCGTAAACCAATACGCGCGCGTTTTCCATTAATTTTCAGTGCACTTTCTGGTACCGGTGCTCTTTCTGTCCAAGATGTTTAATTAACACCCAAAACAGGACTAGTTTGAAGCGCCACGAGGTGTTCGGCGTGGAACAATCTTAGAGAAAAAGAAAACGTGACAGTTGATTTGTTCTTTAAACACAAAAATACTTCACGGGAAATTGAACAATCAAATGTTTTCTACAAAATCTGTACATCAGCAAAGAAACATCTAATTTAAAAGGAAATTCGTTCAGATTCTAAAAAGGTCGGAACAGGAGATGTTGAAAATTCTGCACTTGTCCACATCCAAATCAAGAAATATTTACTATTTTTATGTAGTTCTCTTTCATGCCAACGCATTTAATGTTATATGTTTCAGTACCACAAAAGTGAAACACATTTTTTAAGGGGGCACCACAAGAAAATAAGCTACAGCTACAAAGTTATATAAACTCAACGGAGGTTCTTCACACATTTCACTGATGGTTTTAAGAATGTATAAACTATAAAGAAAAATATGTAAAACTCTAAACATTGATCCCCTGAATTCGAGGGTTTTAGTTGTGTAAGTTTTTAACCGTTGATAAATAGTTGTTCACCTCAATTTTGTTTTAAAATAAAGGCACCCATGGGTTTCTTTCAAAACAAGCTTTGAATCCAATAGCATTGCCGATGCCCCCCCCCCAACAATGGCGGAAAGCATTGTACTTGGTTTTGTAAGAAGCGGCTGTAAAGAGTAATACAACAATTGAGATGATTAGTTCATTAACTAAAGGAATTGCTAAATGTCATTGATATCCCCTTCTGCCGACAAAATGCGTGCGCGTGCAAGTGCGCGCGCACGAGACAGAGGAGCTTTGGGAAGTTCGAGATCGAACGTACTTTATTCAGCTTTGCGTGGTACCCATTATACGTTTTATGCACAGGCCAACAGGAAATTCCATCAATAATCGCGCTTGTATAACAGACTCTTTCCCGTCCCCGCAGCGATTAAGGTAATGCGGGGACCGCTAACCAGACTTCACTGTACTCACTGGTAACCGCACTGGTTTAACATTAAAGTTTACGCAATATAGAAAGTGAGGGAACAGTGCATTTGCAGACTATATCGTTTACGTTGGTTAGGTAAATACAGTTTGACGGTAGGCCTATTGTGTTCTAAAATTCAGAGCTTGTTTGTTTGGATTAATACAGAGGTATGACAAAACAATTGTTGACCACTGTGATGTGGGATATGACGTTTTAAACACACGAGGGACGCACAGCGGCCCGAGAGGAGCCGACGACGCTATGCTTCCCTTGGGTTTTCAAAACGTCATATCCTACACCACAGCGGTCACGGACTGAAAGCTAACGGATGGATGTAATAATGAGCCCGCCTCATTTTCTCCGACAGCATACATGGACAATGTAGCTCAGTGAACTTCATCTGTGCTTCAGCGTCAACTTCTGGGTCAGCTCAAACCGTAAATACAGGAAATCATACGAGCAGCTATTTTGAAGAAGGCCTGCCTATGTCACTCATTGCAAACAAGCGAATTTTGGCTAAGGCGGAAGTATTATATTCCTATTTCTGGCTTTATGTTCACATTAGCGCTAACGTCTTTGTATAGTGTATTACACGGCCAATCAACAGGTAAGCAAAATTTAAATCAGTATGGTCACAAAGCAAGCCTACATTACTATCCATGTAGCTAACAGTGTTTAAGCAAGGTTTACCAGTCCTAATATATTTTGAATAATCATGCTTCTGGAGAATTAAAATAATTAAGAGGAATTATTTAATATTTGTAATTCAGTCGAGTTGTTCAGTCGAGTGGAACACTTTAGCCAATTACATGGTAATTGTTGTCACTTGATCTTTTGCATATGTAATTAATTCGTTAAACAACCGCCATATTTGCGTAAAACTTTACTCGACAAGATAAGTGTTGTGCACCGTCCCGAAACTTCATTTTCTGATGTTAAAATCACAAGTAATATTTTTGTGAAGTTATATGCATATTGAAACAAAGGTAAGATTCTTAACGTACTGTAAGCACTCTCTATCTGCATGCTGATATTACTTTCCTTCTTTTCTTTTTCTGGGGGTGAATAGTCAAGACACAATGGAGATATGGCAATGTCAGAGATCTGTACGGTACAGTTAGTGACACCATCGGCATCACTCGGAACACCCCAAGGACGCTGCCATCACCATCTAGTACTACCATTTACCAGAGGACCAATAATTTGTGATACTTTTCAACCAGAAGGGATTAAATTGGTTTGATTTTTATGTCTCTTTTCATGGATGTAGGACCCCATAATGGCACAATGTAACACCTCCCAGTGCGCTTCTATTAGTAACACAATCATTAGCACCGTCGACAGTAACGTCACTGACGAATGCTATGACAACGGAACAATCATCACTGTCTCTTGTAATCGAGGTTTTCAAAATCTGGTCGACAAGTATGACACCATATGCAATGGCACGACTGGAAAATTTGAACCGGAGGGAACATGCAAAATAGGTGGGTCACTTATAACTAGCATATGTAATTACAGCCTCCAATGATTAATTTGAAATTGGCGACGTCTTCTCCCATCTCTGAGTACGAATAACACCCCGAAAAATGAGAATTTCAGCGGATTTATATGGTGCCATTTGAGACCACTCTCTCCAACTTCAAACTAGTCACTGAAAATGTTACATTCTTCCTTTTATTACAGACCTACTCACTCTTCTTGTGGCCATTAGCATGGCTTATCTGGTGACAACGGTGGCTCTTCTTCTCACATGCAGCATCATTCGCAAATGGAAAAGGTATATAACTATGTGCATCACTTTACAATGTTATTTAATACATTACTTTGTTCATGATTACCCACGTATCATGAAGCAGGAGAAAACATTCAAGTTACAAATTACACAAAAATTCAAACTAATCCTTACACTAAGACAAAACTGTTAAACTGAATATCAACAAAAATATATGCCGACCAACTTACGGGATAATGTATTAAGAATCTTCCCTGAAAAACCACTTTCTGTTATATCAAGAAAACATTAATTTTGAGGCAACACAGGCATTACATTGTTGAGGACTCACGTCACGCTGATTGACACATTGACAACAGATTAGAGATTAATCTCTAAATAATAAAAGAGATACTTTTATTACCAGTCTGTGGATCTACCCTCGAGTGCGTTCGTTAACTTGTGAAGTGCGCTCATTTTCCACAGAAACTTCTCCCTATATGCCCCGAGCGGGACCTAGAGAGGGCGCTATTCCTATTAACGAAGGCTCCTTCGGTAGGAACTACACTTCCCTAGTTTGCAAACGACAATGAAACATACGCTTTGGAATATGTGATTGCCGAGCTTTCGGTAACTGAGTACTTTCTCCAGGGCAAGCGCTTCGCAGATTCAGTTCATGAATCTGAATCTGCTTGCCCTGAATTAAGAAGGTACTCAGTTTCCAAAAGCTTGGCAATCACATATTCCAAAGCGTACGTTTCATTGTCGTTTGCCAACGAGCGAAGTGTAGTTCCTACCAAAGGAGCCTTCGTTACTATTCGTCACATATTCCAAAGCACTGATTTTACATTATATTCTTGTCAATATTCTGATCACGGTGCTACACAGCCCTTCGATATTTCAATGAAACATATACGCGTTACGGTTGCGTGGATACCGACAAAAACGAACACTCCCTACCAACATGACTATTTTCAACCGATGAGGGGGTGCTTCCGTTCAAGGCGGATTGGTCAAAGGATATAGGCCTACATTTGTACGGCACTTTCTGGTTCTAAATGACGTCACACCTCGGTATTCTATACGTGGACGTAATACCCACATTGCAAACGTGGAGCCATCATTCAGTAACCGATTTTAATTCTATTTGCCTATATGCCAAGGCAGCTGTCCCCGAATATGTTTTTCCCTTCGACAGAACATCTTTCTTCACAAAAATAATATCTGCATGTATGTAAAGGCAATTTGATTTTAGCATACATGAACTTCTACTGACGTTGATTTTGTTCATGTTTTCATTTAAGTCGAAAAAACAGATTTGACGTGCCTCTTCAAGACGTAAACCTGATCTCGACAATTACTGCAGCGAGCAACGCAGGCAACCCAACTGAGAATTCACAACTACCACCAGAACCGGAAGCAAGACTACTCACATACAACTGTGGGCGCCTAAATGAGAATGGCCAACTGAGACTGGAACCGCTGCCTCTCTCCGAGGAATATTTGTACACGTACGTATCAGATGATTCAGATTCCGTGTGAAATACTCCTGGCTTTATATGTCATTTGCTTAAATTTCAAACATATTTGGAAACAGCAAATATTTACCAACAATTTTTTGTGTTTTTTCCATGACGCCATAGGCATTCTATACAGGAACCGGCCTGCAAGACACATTTCGAAATTATGATGAGCGAACCTACAAGAGATCATTTGTCGGACAGGTCAACGTCGTCGCCAAATGAGCAGCATCTCTATGAAACAATACAGACATCTGATCAGGAGTGTAGGCGTAGCAACCTCGTCAGTGCATACGAGTTATTCATGTCGTTATGCTGAATTTGCTCATTATTACTAAGGCCAAACTATAAAGATATGCTATACGATTTTTTAGGTGGGTTGAAAGGTACATGTACTTTTGTTGCAAGCTGTGGTAAGATGTGATTGTTAGGTTGTTTTGTTTGTGTTACCGAGTGGTTAAATGTTGAGAGGGGTGGTGGATAACCCAAAAAATTAAGGAAACAAGGATGCAGAGTAAAGAAATACAAAAAACACCAATTTACGAAAACAGACTGCTGACTTAATAGAAATTGAAAACTAGAACAATTACATGTACATTCGGTTATTAATTCAAATTAATCCAAGTTACCTTCACCCCCTTTAATGTTGGTGCAGTCAAAGGACGGTCAAATTCAATTTGGCCCAACCTGGCATATATTTTTGCTGGCTGGTCACCACGCACAAACTATCTAACCCTGACTACCTGACTGGCCAAAATTTATCAAACAGACAGCAGGCCAGTGGTAAAGCACCACAAAAACCATACAAATGGGTATTAAACACTGAAGGTTTAGACCAGAGACTTGACAGGCAAAAATGACGGCTCAAAATATTGTACCAGATGGCATTTGCATAGGAGGGTTAAGCCAAAAAAACCGTAAGAAACCCCCAAAACACCCACACAAATAAACGCCAGTCAATATGATGATGAACCATTTGTAAATTAAGATGAAAATACATTTGTATAAGTGACCAAGCATTATATATATTAGAAGTACATGTACAGTTATATGCATATATTGGATTCATTTACATTTTATGGCATAAAATATGCGGCCCTGCCACAGCCTACGTTTTGAATTTATGGTTTACATTCCTTATTTTTTTATCAACATGCGTTAATCAATTTAATAAGGAATTAAATATTTCACAACCACCAGTAATATTGTTGGGAATACGAACAACCAAAAGTAACTTACTCAAGATGTTATAGAAGGGCTAGATGTACTGTACATCAAATACAAGGTGGTGTAGGATGACCTACACACGTAGAGGTACGATAGTGCTAAGTCCACAGGAGGACTAGGTCGGTCACTGTAAATCAGAATTAAACATTTGATATAATACTGAAACAAATCATTAGAAGTTAAGGATGTTGACAAAATATGATCAAATACTCGTTTTTATTGAGGTGTACAATGTTCAAAAATGTTAATATCTCTGAATATGCAAAGGTGCTCGTAAGAAATTACCCCCAGCAAATTAGAGTTCAACAGGATATAGTTCTATAATGTGCTTACAAAAGTGCAAAATGCAGATTTAAATGTGTACAATCTATAATCGAACAATTATTAAAGGAAAATTAGAAAGTGCTTACTCACCATGTGTCCATTGCCACCATGCCATACTGCCGAGTTTCAAACTCAAATTTTACAATATCGGGACAACACCCGAACTAGGCTAGCTCGCAACATAGTTAGGAGCACTATCAGTATCAACGCGTGAACTTCACATGGAGATGTGTATCCCACACTCATGCAATGCAGTGTGCAGCAAAGACACTAACGTGACATGGGGAAGGATACCTCGCAAGACGAAAGGCAGAAAAGCAAAGCTACACGGCAAGACGCACTATATAGAGAGAAATGAGCCAAATAACTTGCCCCACCCAGACAGCGGAACTCGAGATACGCAATAGTTACATAACTCCTGCAAACGCAAAACCGCAACTTACAATTTGTACAAAGCAGCGCTGCATTCCCACAGTGCCAGACATTGTGATACATGGCGCACTTCAACTAATTATATATGCGCACTTAAAAAAGGTGACATTAAACCTGGGACGGTTGACAATACTTTGTCGACTGGTCACATTTGCATATTCTTACTGTTGTTTCACTTGAGATTGTACCGACGGAAATGAATACGTCACGCGCACAATTATGTGTGGTATAAAAGGTATTAGTGGGAGCTAGAGCCAGTGCGTAAACCAATACGCGCGCGTCTTCCATTAATTTGCGCTTTCTGGTGCTCTTTTTGTCCTAGATGTTTAATTCCCAAAACAGGACTAGTTTGAAGCTCCACGAGGTGTTTGATGTTATTCCCCGAACAATCATATAGTAAAAGAAAACGTGACTGTTGATTGCTCTTCAAACACAAAAAGACTTTTCACGGGAAATTGAACATTCAAAAGTTGTCTGCAAAATCTGTACATTAGAAAAGAATCATCTAATTTAAAAGGAAATTCGCTCAGATTATAAAGTACATACGGTTGATTTGTCCACATCCTGATTGAAGAATAACAACCTTATTTATTTTTCATGTAGTTCTCTTTTATGTCAGGGCATGCAAAGTGAAACTATTTGATGTTACATCTGTCAGCACAACAAAAGTAAAACACTTTCTACAAGTATTAGAAAAAAGGCTTCCACGGCAAGAGCTTGATACATTCTTTTCCAGAACGCTTTGAGATAACTTTTTCATGTTCTAGCGAAATGTCCCTTTTCTGAAAAGGAACTACCCCCCCCCCTTCATTTTTGTGTCATGAAACCCAATTATCTTAAAATCGAAGAAAATTGTTTACATTGGCGTAACTAGGGCTAAATTTCCGGGGAGGCACCCGGGGTGCACACATTTTTTCACGGAGGTACCACAAGAAAATAAGCTGCAGCCAGACAGCTTTATAAACTCAACGGAGATTAATCACAAATTGCACATGGGGGCACCGGGGGAACGGGCATTCGGCTGGGAGGGAACGTGTGCCCCCCCCCATGTATAAACTTTAGAAAACGTAAAACTGTACACGCTCAGCCTTATTATGATCATAGAACTTGAGGTAGATTTAGTTTTGTAAGTTTATAACCATATTATTAAACAGTTGTTCATGTGTGTATTATTTTGAAGTGCCAGTATAGGAATTACAAGATATATAGAAATATGGAAGGGCTGAGTAGCACCGTGATCAGAATAACGACAAGAATGTAATATCAACTCAGTGCTCTGAAATATATGATTAATGAGCTTTCGGTAACTGAGTACCTTCTTCAGGGTAAGCAGATTCAGTTCTGACCACCCTGGAAACGTCCCGGTACGTAATATTCTTCTCAAACATTTCTGTACACTCGGAAATGATACGGCCACAGCTTCCATTTTCGCCGAACCCCCGATTTGCTCGTTTAGGCGCGATCGTTCTGTCGGAGACACGGTTGTACGTTCCCGGTTGGATTCCGTCCCGCCGTCAAAAGCAGGCAGCAATTTCCCTCGTCAGCGCCCCAAACGTAACACCTGCCCCTACATAGTTAAGAGCCCGTCGCCGGCCCCTGCGGTAGCTACGGAATACGCGGGGATCATACATGCATTACTGGTAATGCTGTTTATTGCATTACATGTCGTCGCTGTAGTAAACTGTACATCGGAGAGACCAAGCGTCGCCTTGGTGACCGCTTCGCGGAACACTTGCGCAGTGTGCGCCAACAAACACCTGGTCTCACTGTTGCGCAGCACTTTTGCGCGCCGTCACATTCCCTCGGTGACGTAAGCGTCTGCATCCTGCGGAAAGCGTCATCTGATGTACAGTGTAAGGAACTGGAGCAGAGCGTCATTTTCGAACTTGGAACGCTGCGTCCAGGGGGATTGAACGTGGATTTTTCCGCACTCATTCAGAACTGAATCTGCTTGCCCTGAAGAAGGCACTCAGTTACCGAAAGCTCGGCAATCGCATGTTTTAGAGCACTGATTTGATATTATATTCTTGTCGTTTTAGGAATTACAAGAGCCGGCTATCCGTTTTCTAGGAAGGTTTGGCACCCATTGGTTTCTTTTCAATACATTAGGGACTTGTCCGAATCGCTTGTCTACAGCTGGAAATTACGCGCGCGTCTACGGCACTGGCCGTGGCCAGTTCCCATTAAATCGAGTGTAAATTCCGGCCGTATATCCAAGTGATTCGGACACGGCCGATGCTTTGAATTCAACGGTGCTGCCGATGGCCCCATGAAATGGCGGAAAGCATTATGCTTGGTTTTGTAAGGAGCAACTGTCATACATCAGTGGCTCCGTACAAAAGTCACCATAATGCTTATACCGCCATTGCTGGGGACCATTTGCAATGGCCAGTGATTGAGCTGTACTATAGTTATCGGACTAATCTTTAGTGCATGGTTAGTACTCATTTCTTCTTAAAACTGTCTCTATTATACCACTGGACACCATATCTCACGGCACAGCACATTGTTAGCGTAAACAAGGGCAAATACTAAAGGTTGTTTGCCAGCTTCAAAATGTTGCGTTCAGAGTTTGAAGCTTCCAAGCATAAAACTTGAATGGGGAACAGGTTCCCAATTTCCCATGACAATTCAGTTTTTAACAGAACGCTCACAAGGGAGTAATTCAATTGGGTCAAGGTACACCATGACAATGTTCAACAGTCATGCATGCATAACTTCTTCGGGAAATTTTTAGATTGCAAAACCGTAAATTCCCCTTTATTTTTCTGTGACTGTACTTTTTGAACATATTACATGTACCACAACAAGACAAAATTGAAGGGTATTTTTTTTTATTCTTGCAAGGGTGAAAGAGATGCTCCGTGAAAACAGCCAGAGTAGAAGCGGCCTACCGATGGTGTATTTCCAATGGCTTCCACCTGTGACGTGAAGTGTTATATTCAGGCGTTTGTGGCAGTTGCTCAGCATGGTGAAAATGAAAACTCCTTTTGCGTTGAAGAGAGTGTTGATTCTTCTTTGCGTTCTTTACAATGGAGGTACGTTTTCCAACTCATGTATTAATGGATGTGCAACTTTAGTGCTCAAAAATGGGTCGTATAAAAGTGACCGTGGTTCAATTCGTACGTTGCCTGAACTTGACAGTTTTACTGTGCTCTATGCTACGAAGTAGACTCAGAGAAATTAATTTACATGCCATCTAATGAACACAATGATGGGTGACTAAAACCTGTGAAAGGTGAATACATAAAATTATATACATACATGTATATTACTTTAATCTCTACTCTTGCCCCATGTAAAGGAACATGGACATTATGTGCGTAAGTCCTAAATTATGGGATATAGATCATAACAGATACATCTCATTCGATTCCTATTTTGAACAGATACCAGCTCAATTGAGACGTCCTGTGGCACTTTGCAATGTCGTAAACCATCAGACACACACATCAGCTATCTTCAAACAAGCCAAGGAGTGAGCTCTCGTTGCTTTGACAACGGGACAATTATACATATAAGTTGTTCTCGTGGTTTTCAGCACTATGTTGACCACTACCAAACTACGTGTGATGGGGAAACGGGCGAGTGGCAAGACAAAGGATCGTGCGAAATAGGTAAGCTTGAATTTCAATCAGTCTGCTCATTGCCGGTTGTATTTCAAGTATTTGGTACTTCTTGCAAGCTCCATTTCAAACAACACTAGGCCTACGTCAAGTCGTTTCTGGAAATATACGATGTTTGAAAGTTCCCGTGTCCTAACTGCATCACCCCATGCGTGTATTAATTAATAATTGTCGTCACTGCATTGTAAGACTGGAAAACTACCTTGCTTTATTTATTCCAGTGTCGATCCAGAACCTGACGAATGTAGTAACACGATTGTTGTGTGTTCGTTCTTGTTTTCAGAATTAGCGTCTCTTATTTCAGTCATAGCAGCTTCAGTTATCCTCTTGGTATTCTTCTCCGTGGCTGTACTTGTCTTAATATGGAAAAGCAAGAGGTAGTTTGCCATTTAACTTCATTTAATTAGCTAGGTTCTGGATTTGATGGTTTCCTTTTCCCCAACCGCGACAAGGTTGGAGGTTAACGTCCTAGACCAGAAAGATACTGGTCACGTTTGAACTACCGAACACAGATTCCCGCGTGCATGACAATGATCTAGGCCTACACAATACGCTGCCGTTTTAAACATGGTACCAATCATACAAGGAGTCAGACTTTTGGAGATACATGTACAATAACCATAATAGTCGCTTGACTGAGGGTAATTGCCGCAGTAAACAATGTCCAACATACCCTCAGAAGAGGGAGAAATATCTGCATAGATGAGACGAACCTTCACTTCCCAAATCCTCCTGTGGCTGATTTTCCGAAAAGCAACATCGCCTTGGAAAAAAAATTATCACTCCCAACTAAATATCCATATCCAGTAGGTGTCTTTGTATTTCTATTAGAGAATGTGTGCTTCGAGTTGGCATCACCCAGCTATTTACTCCCATCATCAAAATTTACTTTTATTCAGAATCCGGGAAGTAAATATAGACCCAGAGGCCGCTGAACAAGATCCAAAGGCTGATGCAAATGTAGAAAGGGTAATGTTTCGTCAGCGGAACCCAGACCAACTTCCACCAGATGGAGGTGACATAGAAATGGCAGTATTTCGTCGGCAAGACCTCAATGAAAATCCACTAAATGACGCAGGTGCTGGAGTGCATTATCCACAGAATCACGATCAAGTACGAAATCACGAGGTTGTTGAAGTGCATCGTCCACAAGACCAAGATGAAAATCCCCAAAATGAAGCTGATGCTGGACTGCATCATCCACAGAATCTCGACCAAGTGCAAAATGACGGGATAGCTGAAAGATATCATCAGGAAGGACATGACCATGAACCGGACATGGAGGCCACACTGTGTGTCCGTAAAGCCACACAAACTGAAGAGTAAACACGTTGTTAAACCAATTTGTTCATTTCAATATTTTACTGTGATAAAAGATAATGATGGAAAACTGATTGCATCAAAACCATGGCAAAGTGACAGTTTATCGTCCGATGTAAAGTCCAATGTACGATCAGGAACTTTGAACAACAGTGTAATATTGTTTGTATTATTTTGTTTCAGTTTCGTGAACACCACCCCAAGACAAAGCGCTGCAACGCAAACGGAGATCCAAATGACTGACATGAATTCATGGTGTGAATACCACCCGCTACCTCTGCGGCACATCGATCAAATTCACATCCAGTGGAATCATGACTGTCGAAGCACTCCTCTCTCAATTGACTTCGGCGGAGAAGGTTCACTAGTATCAATGTGTTAAAGAGGCATAATATTATGCATACAACTTGTGGTCAGAAGCTTAATGTAAAATTAAGTATAAGATTTTGGGAAGATTTTGGGAAGACTACCGCAAAGGGTTGACGACTCAGCTTCCTTCAAAGATATTCCATAATTGAAATAAACTGCTTTTGTTTGCTTAAATAATAGCATTTTCAAAGATTTCTCACAGAAATTCGTAATATCTATAAAATGATATATCTTAAGGTGTTCCAGAGACGTATCCATGCTGATAAAGCTTGGGACAAGTGCTTCTCCAAGTTTAAAACAAAACAAACCAAAAAACCTGCGAAACTGTGGGAGCCTCACGTCCAATTCCAAAAGCAAACTGCGAGTATGCGTGATTGTGTTGTGCTTGTAAATCGTGTCCCGTTTTTTATTCGGGAAAGTTAACTTAGTTTCATTTTTACCTCAAACAAATTATGTCGGGTAAAACTTATGTAGTTACTTTGCCTAAATGAAATACAGGCTTAACGAAAACTTCCCCATTATATTATACTCCTTATTTAACTTTTTGGCCAAGCGAAGTCTCACAATTTGTGCGGCATTTATTTGCCTAATTATGCAGTGCATGTGCGGAGAAGCTTGCGAGCGCAGCTCTAGTGGATCCGTTCGCTGCATACTCGTATTGCAAGATAGGACATAAAACTGTGAATACCTCATGCACAAGGAAATAATTGTATTATTCTGCCAGTTTCATACAAACGGTAGCATTTCCCGCAACAACAACAAAAAAACCTCTAACCCCGAGCTCGACCTCTTCTTATTACACACCAAATATGAATAGTGCAAGTCAGTAAGTTTAACCCCCAAAAAGCACTTTACTTCCTTCTCGACATGGTAATTTCATTAAAAATGTGCATGATGTGTTATAACCCCTATGAGTATACCCAGCAAGAAATGAGACCGAGGGATACCCCCCCAACATGTCCAATCCCTATACACATTCCAGACTATTGTTACTTAACACATCCCCCCCCCAAGATGTCTGAAAGGAATTCCCCAGATTCCTGCGACACAATGACCAACACAAAGCAGGGGGGTTCTCTCCGTCTCATACCTTGCTGCATATGCCTATGAGCTATCACAAGGTAACAGATGCACTCAAGGTATTCGAGACACATTTGATTCCGTTGCGGGAATATATCACAGTTTATCAAGTGAAAAACTCAGATTACTCAGAACTCGGACTGTCATCGAATTATCGAACTACTTTAGAATTACAAAGAATATGCGCGTTGGTCATTAAACTAACAAAAGAGTTGGACATTTGCAAATTGAGAACGTGACATGTTTATGAAACACACTCTTCAGTAAAAATTAAGTACAGAGATGTTATAAATGAAAGTGCCGGGCGCAGGCTTTACGTCACAGATTACTTATCACGCCAAATGGCAATTTCAGTACAATGTGCATGGCGTGTTATAACCCCTAAGAGCTACCTGTATCGCAAGCTATAACAGGTGCATTTGAAGTATTCGAGATACATTTGATCCGTTGCAGGAATATAACACAGTGCACGAAGTAATATAAAATGAAAGTGCAGGGTACAGGCTTATTTCACACATTACTCATCAGTATACATTCAACTGTTTGGACAAGCGACTTCTTTCAGGGCAAACACAGTCAGCTAACTATTCATCCTTATAGAGGGCCCTGTCCCATTGTGACGTGTTGGTGGAATTGTTCGCCTACGCAGCATATTCTTTAGGAAGGCACTGGAGCGTAACATGCCTGATAGCCTGAACGGAAACCTACCATGGTGATTGCTGTATTACTCAGCACTGTCACGGTGTGTTATGGTCGTACGATGGGAACGATACACTGTAATACGACTTACAACAAGGCGCGATTAAGTCCCTGACATCATAACCTAGTTGAATCGAAATATTAATCCCAATCAATTAGAAATTTAAGGCTAACACAGTATAGAGATTTCTCAACAGCAGCGGCTCATTTTTGCCAAGAAGGGAAGGTGAACGCGACAGTTGATCACGTCTGCCTAGTATAGTGAGTCTGCCTCTGCGTTGGAGTTACATATGCTGGCAGGAATTATCTCATGATCTGCGTTTAGCTTGCTGTGCTGTAAATGACAGGTGAGAGGAGGGGTCTTTTTATACTAAATTAATGACAATTTATTCTGCATTCAAATGTTGACGTTTTCATATGAGTGAGGAAGAGTTATTGGCAGTAAAATGGCACAACAAAAATATACCTTTTAGTCCGGCAAATAATATTTTGATTCTGTTCATAGCCGGCAAAGATCCACCAGGAATCAATAAAAACTTGTTAACTTTATGCGTTGTTCGATACATAATTATAAAACTAATATTGAGTTAACGTTGACCAGCTGACGTTATTTTGTCATGACAATTATTAGCCAGTACGGCGATATTAATTTCATTAACTTATCGTTTCGGTCTAGGACGCATAATGGCACAATGTAATACCTTCCAGTGCGTCATCATCACTAACACGATCAGTAGCACCGTCGACAGTAACGCGACTGACGAATGCTATGACAACGGAACAATCATCACTGTCTCCTGTAATCGAGGTTTTCAAAATCTGGTCGACAAGTATAACACCGTTTGCAATGGCACGACGGGAGAATTTGAACCGGGGGGATCTTGTGAAATAGGTAGGCCATGATCAGTTTACTGTACTACAGATTGGATTCAAATCCCAACATTCTTCAAGTCTTTTCCTATAAAATACTATTGGTTATGTGGCTTCACAATGTTCAGACTTCACGCATCTTATAATGTCTCCGCAAATGAATTAGTTAGGAGGGAGTACATGTTTCACACTATACGTGCAAAATTCTTCTTCACAGACTTACTGACGCTGATTTTAGCCATCGTTCTGATGTTAGTCATTACCTTCATCTTCAGTCTCGTCACTTTTCTTGCCTACAAAAGGTAAGCAACAGCTTCACATTTTCTTCCAATACATTTATAAGATTCTGACAGAGTGGTCACAGCCATTAATGTTCTTATGGACCCCTGCACAACCCTCGCCCGATTAGTCGTCAACCATCGGAACAAACGCTTTTTTTTCGCAAAATAAATGTTGGGTTAAAATCTGTCTCATTTCCTTTTAAAAATATTCACAGCATGAGGGGAATGGTTTTTCAATGTTTACGAAATACCTCTTTAAAATATAACATTTACAAGTGTGTAATATTTAGAACTTGTTCGGATTTGAGCAGCAAAAAATAACTATAATTGATGTGTTTTAATTTTAGGTACACGAAGCGATGGAAAAAGGCGATGTACGACACTTCCCGAGATGTATCAGAAATAATTGACGGACACAACGAGGAGGTTGGGGGTGTGGTCAACATTGGGATGGCTACCATGCCTCCAAGTCCAAAGTTTATCCCTATAGAAGACCCGTACGATATACGGAATGACGTGGGTACCCAGACCATGGCCGAGGTTCACTATGAGAACTCGTCAGTTGCTGCAAAGAATCAAGAGGTCCAGTATGCAAATACCTCATATGAGATGGACACTGGTTCCATCAAAGAAAATGGGATGTTACCCAGTGATCCACAGGCAGGCAACAGTACGGAAAAACTCATAGATACAAAACGTGATGAACCAGATGGACAGCCCTCAATTGTCAACGCATACGCGAATATCGACCGTCCGCTTAACCGTGCCCGACGGGGTCCTTCAGATGCATCTGTTGGCGGTAGTACCAAGGTCCGTCCGGTAACTGCTCCTCCGGTCTTTGATGACATGTCGGCTTCAGTCCGTACTCCCAGAGATAGTGACGAGGTGGAGGCTCTATATGCTAAGGTCAACAAAGTGAAGCGATCTTCAGAACGCTGGCCACCACAAAGCAAAGACCCCAGCCGACCACATGGCAGACCAGCAGATCTTGACGATTTGCTGAACCACATCAATAAACCAAGTCAGAAACAGTTACAAAAGAATGAAAGCTCACCAACTCGACCCATGGCGGAATCCAAACGGATAGAGGACTTGTACGCAGAAGTACCAGAAGACTGGGCTTCCGGTTCAGTGAAAGCAAGTCCACCCAAAACAGCACCCAAGCCTGTACGTAACAGCAACCAAACATCAACTGAAAAGCCACTCAAACGCTATGTACCACAATCACAGATCGGAGATGGTAACACCGCTGATATGTATGCTGAAGTGGATAGGTCACACACCTCCCCTAATCGACACATCGTCAGTAGCAACTTCAACCCGCCTTCCCCTCCCCCGATTGATGGGACGGAGGGTCTGTACGCGCAGATTGACAGCGACGGAAAGTCAAGGAGTACGCGAGTGACGGGTGACCTAGACTCAACCTACAGTACCGACGAGGGCTTTGTCGATCATGCAACCACCAAATTTTAGGAAGTAAATGATCTCAAAAACAAGGTATTTATCGATCATGTCACCACCACCAGAATTTAGGGACTAAATGACTTCAATTTAACGGCAACCCCCATCCGTACATGTATATCCTGTTAAAATTGTACGTGTACTGATATGATTTTTGTCACAAAATTCTGTGGTCCATTACGCCCCGCGCGATAGGTTTTGATCACAGCTTCAAAAGCGCGCGTCCGCAATTCGCAATAGCTCTTTAAAGAATCAACTAAAAGTGGAAAATAACGTACTCTGTGTTTCGACCAAGCGTATAAAAATGCAGGACTAATATTGTACTCCTATAATGAAAATTGTTTTATGACGAAACAACTGTTTATTAATGAAAAATGCTCATGTACTCAGTGACATAACGTTTGGTCTTTGACCTTCGTTCTGTATCCAATGAAATCAAAATGGACGAACTAAAGAATGGGAGATCAGATGTACATTGTGTACAATGTACATTCAGTGTATCCGTTCTCTTAATATGGTGCACTCCAATAGATCACATATTTTATCATGTGTATTCAATACGTATGTAGTATAGTTGGCGTTGATAATAGACATGTATATTGGCCAATTCTAGACCCAAACCAATGTATAAAGGGTACAACATTAATACTCCGAAAATACAAATTTAAAGAACTTTAGGCTACATTTAGAAGGCGGGAAAAGGTAAATTGTGCGAATATTATTCCTATTAATGCAAAAAATTGTACATTTTAATCCCGGTGATGTAAAAAGTCAGGGGGAAATGATACATAATCACTGAATGCAATACATGTATAGTGTTTTAATCTTGGCAACTCTGTGTCTTCCTAAGCATTTCCAAGTATTTCTGTAGACGTTACAAAGATTACGGAGCCAAATTTAAAATCCGGACACTTCATATTAGGAATTGTTGTCCTATTGAGATTTCCTGTCCGTTGTTAGTTTTTCAGCAGTTCTTAACAACCTGAATACGCAATTTATGCTAAAGCGAATTCATCCATATTTTGATGACTTTCATTAACCCCATGTAAACCAATGTATTAATGTTTTTCTGAAGTATAGAGCGATTCATCCATTCTATTCGAAATTATAAACAAAACTGGTATTTAGAAACTACATACATGTATCGGTATCATGACAAAGGAACCTTATAGCTCTTTGACATTTCAGTCCACATCTCTGCATGGATAATACACGGATATTACTTGTATATGTATCTAGTATGTTGTTTGTAGTTAAGCCATGTTCTCAATCATAACGCGGGCGTTTTTCGGATGCACTATGTAAATATTTGAAATGGTGACAGCATTAAAGAACTATAGAAGTAATGTTCCTTTCCAACACTGTTTTCATTAATTGATGTTTCAGCTTTTAGTTAAAATGAAATGAACCGCACACAAGACTTTGCTTATTTTTCATGTGCGTCTGGCAAAAGGCATGCATCTAATTGACTACATGTACAGTATAATGCGTAGCCCCTACCTTTTCTGTCACCCTCTTTGGTCTGTGTCCCGAAAATTGAGTTGTCAAAAAGGACTTTGTAGATCTGACATGCTCATTTATTTCTTGCCACTTTCAAACCCCTCATTTAATAGTATTTGACGTATTTTTCTTTAAAGAAGTTATATACTTGGGTCCTGTGATGACACTCGTCACTGTTCACATTTAGGTTCATGTGAGCAATACGACAAACTGATAACAAGGAACAAGATACATCATCTAAATGATTAAAAATAAAGATTCTCAAGCCTCCACAATCGCTCTTTCCAATTAAATTTTTCTAACAATACAACTCAGTACGGATCGACCTACTTTGTGCACTTAAGCAAGTGATCATATATGATTGTGCAATCAATGGTTTGCTATTAAATTCGAAGAAACAACACTGATGAAATCGAAATGGACACAATAGTAAGTCCAAACAATTTTTTGACAAAACATGAAATTTGCCCAAACATAAAATTTGGAAAATATAATTCAGTCTATAAGTGCATGTCTTCCAAAACATCCATTAAACTAGAATCTCTTACACCATGCCAGCCAGAACAGAAAATGCAGCAAGTGTTGTTTGACCCTGAATAAAATATACGTGTAGCTGAATGATCCGGGACACTGCCGACTCCAATAACAATGTGGGTGTGCAAAGCCAGAAACTAAAAATATTTCTACAATGAATTCCACGGAGGTAAAACCCACAGGGCATGTACGTGCATTCCATTTTCACAGATGTACATAATGGCACGATGACGTTAAAAAAACAGGGACACGTAGGGAAAAAAGCTGGTTGTAGTTACCCGTCCGATACATGTAAAATTGCAGTTTTAACATTCAAATCTTTTTCTTCAAATACTGTAAGTCTGTAAAAAAGCTGGAAATTGTTCCATTTCTTTTTCTCAAAAATCAGATGGAAAAAAGATATTTGTTTTTTTTCCCCTCTCATCCATAAGCGATCAACAAACGTCATCATATTTTTGTATGAAACTGTTTATATTCAAGTAAATATTTTACAGGAATCGTGAAAACTTTCTGAATTGATTGCTGAACAATTGTAAATGAAAAATTGTCTTCTAGAATAAAATGCTGTTTATTCAAAATAATTTCATTGCGAAATCAAATCACTCCTTTCAGTGAAGGCAACATCTTTATTCCCATTGATTCCTGATCACCACAAAAAAGGTCTCTTACTGAAGATAAGATCTTAACAACCTAAGACAGTTTCCACCAAGTTGACAAAAGGATGCCTGGGTGCTTTATTCTATTTATCCTTGTGAAGTGATGCATACATGTTTGTTTACACATGTCCAAGTTCAGAGTGCACCGATGCCAGGCCACTTCCTAAATACCTCTCCCAAAGGAAAGAACAATCAAGATTTATATTTTGAAACCCTTAAATCCCTTACGCCCGTATCAGTTTTACAATTGAATGTTACGCTTGCACACTTACATACAGCAGGTTCTTGACAAAGTAAACGGGAGTCGCTTGTTTCTGAAGGACGCCCTCTATTGACTGGACCTGTTAAATGAATTCAGGAATTTCTTTTTGAGACACAGTTGTGGCCTTTGACGCAGCTTGAGCCACTCACACTATACTTTATTTGATTAGTTTGATTTTTTGATGAATCTCACAAAACTGGGCAGATAAACCCAAAGCATCAAACTGAGAAAATTAACTGTAAAAGGACCAGGCAACAAACACATACAAATACAGTTTTTCCTGAAATTTTAGAAATAAAGAAATTCCACTCACATTATCAAACCACCGTGATACATTCATGTACTTCTCCTTTTCTTGGAAGGTCAGTGAAGACTGTACAAGCGAAAAAAATTATAAATCAGACTAAACATGTAACTTTAGTAATCTTTCTGGGAGTAACAAGAGGAGAAATGAAAAAACCTATTACATGTCCCTATTATTAAATATCATTACATATGGACCTACTCTACATCACGCATATTGGTTTGTTCAGTTTTTGAAGGGAAATGGAGGCAAGACAAAATATTTAGGGAATTTGTTGTCTTCCAGCTACCATTGAAATCAACAAGCCTTTCTCTATCATTTCATCTATTCCCTCATGGTGTCCTTGCAATTCATTTAGAGACATTGCTTTGTTTTGCAATTACCTGCAAGTATGAACTAAATCTGGTCTGCAGTGGAAACTTACCAAAGATGACTGTAATCCATACATGATCAGCAAATCGGGTAATGTGAGTCGCTCCCCAAGGAAATATGTTCTCGTAGAGAGATATATGTTAAGTTCCTGGTGGAGAAAATTGGACAAAGGAGGAGCAGTGTTAACAGAAACAGACAGAGAGTTTGACAATATAAGAATAAATACTGAAATATTGAACAATGCTATTATGAATGAAATAGGGTCCGTAAAACGGAGAAAAACGGATGAAGAAAGAAGAACAAATCTGTTGATTGAGGCCACTAAGCTTCAACAATGGATTCAACGATGGAAGGTTCTGATTTCTTTTATCAAGCATAAAAAAGGAAAAATCCAGGCAAGTACCTTGAGAACTGTTGAAGCATCTTTTTCAGCATGACACCTGTCAATGTCTGTGACTCTGTATTCTAACCACTGTGAGACTGCGGCCCGTTCACCAGTATCATTTCCACCAATCAGATCATGCCGCCCTGCAGTCTTTGCCAAGTAAGTGGCAACAGATGAGAGTCCTCTGACTGTTGTTCCATTTAAAGTCAGGACTGGGACCTGTGAGTGTCATGAAGAAAATCACAGAAAACTAAGAATGATATACAGTGCAGTTTACAGTTGAAAATTAGTTGACCTTTTACTTCAAAGCGAGACTTACAAATTCACACCATTCACCCAAGGTGAAAGTTTAAATTAAATAAGAAAATTGACACAACTCCCTTCCCAATGCCACCTAAACAAAAGTCAAAGATCCTCTGATTTCAATTAACTTGAGCCAAAAGCCACGGTTACATCAAACTTTCTCTGATTAAAGGTTAACTGCATTCTGCCATGGTACTCACTTGTTGCATTGTACAATCAAACCAGGTTAATAAAAGGCATTATTTATGATCTAGCATTGTTCATACAGCAAGGACATCTTTAGGTCCAAATCCTTTTTTCTTCATCGTTTCTATCCCTGATAATACAAGATTTCCATTACAAGGTTATTTGGAAAGCCTGAGGACCTCTTATGAATAAGGTTTGACTGTTAACATCAGTATGTGCAACTACACTGTACACTACGTCTTTCTTCGCGTTCTTACAAGTATGAAACTATGATTGACTCATTCAAGTCATTCTTGTGGTCAGCAAGGTACATCACTGGTTCTTGTTTCTTGTCTCTGATTGGTCAGTGTTGGCTGTTCCTTACGCCTCCTCTACGCTACGTTGTACATGCATACTGGCCTACACCTCACTGAAAATATTCTGCAGTTATAGTTAACCCTAACAGTCCCCAATCCTCCAATTTCAATGTGATTCTACCAGAGTTGCTGACTCGAGTCATGTGACTTGGACTCAAGTCGGACTTGAGTCACTATTTTTGTGACTTGTGACTTGACCTGTAAATACCAGCTTTGACTCATGACTTGACTTGGACTTGCACAAAAATGACGTTACCAACTCAAGTCAGACGCTACTTGACTGGCCCCATATATTTTTATCACTCGTAACTTCGTAAGTTGACGTCTGGATCTTTTTGCTGATTGCAGCTGCACAAAATAATGCACAGCTTGACTTGTACAGTACTTAGACAAAGAGACTTTTGACTTGACTTGTGTTTAGACCAAATGACTTGTGACTTGACTTGAGTTGACTTGCCCTGTGGCCAAATGACTTATGACTTGACTTGGACTTGCAAAAAATGACTTACTGCCACCTCTGGATTTTATATACACTAGGGGGTTAAGGTTTTGGAATATTGATTGACCACATTATACCAAAAGACTTGTCCTTATTTATCATACTGCCTAGAAGAAAACAAGTGATTCCCGGTACAAACTTTGAAATGAACATGATGAATGGACAAGAAGACTGCCCCTTTTTGGACAGGCTCCGACACGCCTCAACTCAAAAAGTGTACCACTACCTGTGTTCCGAATCAGCGAAAATATTTCAGTTTTACCTTGGTTTCACTGTTAACGTTTACTTTTACGCCTGTGACATTCAAAAATCTAGCTAAGGCCTTCAGATCCTGTTTAATATCTGCCATTTCTGATGATCCCGCACGAGGCCTGCGGCAAAACGTTCAAAGTTTAATTTAGCATATGTTTCTCAAATAGCGCCCTCATTTGTTTAAGTTGAGCAAAGTAACCTCAATCAACTTTCACAAGTCGTTTGTAAAAATATAGATCCAGAATTTTAGACTTGGAGAAGAAAATCTGCGAAAAAATTATGCTTTCAGTAGTTTTATCTATGTGATATAAACTTATTCATTCATCAATTATTTCTATCTTGTGTACAGCAATATGTGTTTATTTTCTACCTGAGGACGTAGAGAATGTTTATGTTGTGATTATTCGGTTTAGTATGTCATTGTACTCAATGTACATGTACATATACATGTACAATGCAGCGGTGCCGTGCCGTGCGTATGCCATTGATGCAACTTCAGAAAAGTGGCCGTTCTCTTTTGTTGGAGCATTAAATCTTGTCCTCTGACCTCACATAACCAGCCGTTTTCTCTGTGATTGTGCCAGGGACTAAATCAACAAGATGTCGGGGTCAATTTATAACTACAGTGACTCTGATTATGAAATGGTTGATCCGCTAAAGGAGTCCTGGAATCGGACCCCGGAGAGCGGAAATTCCAGCACAGTCGAGCCGGAGCCAACGCGACGAGCTCCCGTAGCAAGCCCAAGGAAGCCGCCTCGTCCTGCGAGTATGGCAGGGGTAGCACCACGGAACCACAATGGAGAAAAGAGTACAGATGTATGTGGTTTGTTGACTCTCTTTGCTCGTTCAAATATTTGCTATGTCGGCGAACAGTTTTTCCTATCCGAATCAGAAACTTTTTTAATTACGTCACTCGTACATATATTTTGAGTCAAACTCAAATGCTACCAAACTGCTACTTGTGTCTTCTTATCCCATTATTGTAGGGCTTTAGAAACTTGACTGGAATTACCTTCAAGTATGACAACCTGACAACTGATAGTTACTACACTTTGTTTTTCTAGTAATAATATGTAGGGCCTAGGCCTGTTGTGGCCTGATGTTGACAACCAGAATGTGTAAGCAGAGTGTTTGTGTATGAGTTAGTTGTTCTTTGAAAATTATACAATTTTCAAAGAAATAGAAATCTAATATGGGCATTTCTTAAACTCATAAGACACATCTTTTAAAGTTTTATCATATGCAAAAGATTACACCAAAAATTTCCACAAAGGGGTGAGTGAAAAAAATAATTCTAAGCTGTTTTAAAACTGCTATTTACTCTTCACATTTAAGCCAATATATTACATTTTTTACCTTTTTCATTTTCTCTCAGTCTTCAATACAGATGGAGGATATTCATGTCACAGAGCCACGATACTCAGAGGTCCCTGAATACGAACCGGATTTTGTCCAACCCAAAGTTCAACCTACAATAAAAACCAACCCCAGCATGTTCAAGCCTGTTGAGTCCAGCTCCATCGAACCAAAGGTCCATTCCACAACTGAAACTAGTCCCAACAGGTACAGCTCTGAACCACCTCAAAATAGAAGCACCCAGTCTCAGTCCCCTGCAAAGAATTCTGTGCGAACAGAACCACTCAGCAAAGAGGAACGGAAGAAAGCAGTGTTGGCTAATAAAATCAAAGCAGCTGTAAGTTTTTTTTTAGTTGAATAAGAAAGTTCCATGCACAATCATACAATCTGATTTGTTGATAGATATTATGTGTTTGATAAGGATGGATTGAAACACACCTGCAGGATCAGTATAAAATTATCAACAAAGTTGTTTTTAAACCTTATGTAGTGTTTGGTGTGGACATTTAACACTTTCACTGTTGATAAGCAATACCTCTTAAGACTCAGTAATATGAGTTTCTTACAGTTTCAGAAGAATTTTTCCAAAATTGGCATCATGGCTTTATATAAAAGACAGATAAGGATCTGGATTTGAATTCCAGTATTACAAAGTCTGTATAGTTTTTCTACTAAAAATGGAATATCACTGATTATTCTCTGTCAGGTTGAACCTAATGATGAAAATGACGATTATGAAAATTCATTTATGCAGCGACACCGTCGTCCCATAATGGTGAGGAATGAAAAGTTTGCCAACAACTCAAAATGGGAAAGTTTTAAATTTGTTTCACACACTAACCACTATAACACTTGAGACATTCTTACCTCCTGCTTGTTGAATTGCCATTCAGTTTCAAATGTAATCATGTTGTAAAATGTATGTATAGGTAGGCTGTCCTAATCCTTCTAACAAATTCGGTAGTTAGAAGAAGGAATTCACTATCAATAAACGTTCTGATTCAAAAAGAGACCAGTATGAAACCACTTTGCACAGACGTGTCTTGGTGAGTTGTGTATTGATTGGGATGAAATCATTTGTAAGTGAATCTCTGGCTTGTCCACCCAAACATCTAGAAATGGCATCATGGAAAAACTCCAAGGAGTAGAGTTGCTTTAAAGTACACATACAACAATCCAAATCAATTATGTTGTGTCCTAATCCTTCTCTACATGTATAACCCCTACCTATCTGCTAACCCCTACCTATCTGGAAACTGTTGTAAATAGTCTAACATTTCTGTGAGCATGTTTGTAAATAAGAAAAACGAAATTGCATGGCATTGTAGCACAGTTACACAGGGGATACTTGGACTGTTTTCAAAATTAAGTTTGAAATAGTTGAATTTCAAACAGGGTTAATTGATAAATGGAGACCATCTTATCCTTCCTTCTTTCAATGTCAGACTCACTAACCAAGTTACTAGCAAAAGCATCACTCACACTATGGAACTCTGGAAGTGCTATCCAACATGTTGACATCTTGTTTCTTGGGATAACGACATGATACAGGAAAGATGTTCACAACCTGAGCTAATTTATCTTGAGATGACGACATCGTAAAAGTTGGATGCGCCATCCTGCGTATTTATCATGGGATGACGACTTTGTAAAAGGGTAGACATCAAACTTGCTGGATGTCATCATGGAATAAGTTATCTAAGGATGTCGTCATCCCGTGATAAATACGCAGGATGTCAATGTCTTGCCTTTATTATGCCATCATCCCTAGAAAAAATATGTCAAGATCTCGACAAGTCAGATGGCACTTCCAGAGCTGCGTATTACTCACAGCATGATTATTGTTTTCAATTGCTGTTGTCTTTCACTTTCAGCAGAATATCAACCTTTGAGTTGAGTGTTTATGCATACCCTTTAACACATGAAACAGCCAACTATTCCTTATTTTGAGGCAGAACCACACAATCTACTGTGTTTAATCCACACTCCTCTGAATGTTCTGCTCTGTTTTTCAGCTTGTTGTTTTTCTACTGCTTGTTGCATTGGCCATAGCACTTGGAATCGGTGCCAGAAATGCCTCCAGTAAGTCTACATGTACTAACAGGTGTTTGTGAAGGTTTTCAATTCACCATGGAAAAAGGTACTCTCTGTGGAGATATAGGTCAAAGCAGCATTGACATTTTACAATACATAAGTGCTTCAGCATACATCAGACTGCATGTACCATTTACATGGAAAATGTTATTGCTCTCAGTTAAAGGGGTACATGTGTGTGGCCTCTGATTTAGGACGAAGGTGCTTTCGTGACAGTTGAGTATAACAGGGTATGTTTCTGTTTGTGTGGTTTAACATTTTAGGAACTATCATTAAAGCCATTATTATACAGAATTTGTAACTTGTGATCTGGAAATCTTTGAAGTTACAAACTCACGCCGGTATGCACGTTTAGCTGAAAATCTGTCAATACTGACAAGTTATTCATGGTGCATTCACTTTTTTCCTCATTATTTAGTGGTTAGCTTCTCCGGAGCTTTCTCTAAGAACAAAGGCAAGCAGTGTGTGCACATGTGTAGGAACATGGACAGGTGAGTTATCTTCTAGAGCAGGATATATTTGTACTCATGTACAGTACTTGAGGGATTTATCAGACAAAATAGCACTTCAAGTGGCTGATAGGTAATTGGATATCTGTTTTCAGAAGAACTGAAGTATGCGAGGGAGACTTGTAGTAAAACAACTTTATTTTCAAGCAAAGTGCACGCACGTACATAGCATTATTAGACTGTTCCTTTTTTTCTAGATATCCTACTTCCCCATTGGTTGTGATCGCTCTGAATGGGTTTCAAAGTAACTTCTTCCAGTACCAGTCACTAGTCAGCAATATTGCACGCCTTGGTATGTATAAAACATTCATCTCATGCCATTTGTCTGCAACTTAGCCTGCGTTTTATCAATTTAAATGGATTGACTCTGGATCTAAATTTTCATTTTACCGTATAAGTCCCATTGACTTGTGTTTGTATGTTTCATTTGTTGTAAACCAAATGTGACTGATGGTTCTTTTTCTATCACAGCTGAATGTGGCGTCCATGGCAACACAATTTCATCATATCCATCAACAGCTATACCTGATTTGTATTCCATTGTTACTGTAAGTATGACGTTTAAAATATGACTTCTTTCTTAACTTCATGTGTTTCTGAATATTTGCTGATTAGAGTATGTTATTGTGTTGTTCCTATATTAGGGTATTTACCCAGCATATCATGGGAAAGCTGCTGATTGGCTCAGAGTTTATGGCTTAAACGAGACGGAATTTGGTCCTGCTGAACGTCCCAATACCTACAGCAGGATAGATCCAAAATGGTTCCAGCAAAATGGGGTGAGATGATACTGTCAACTCTCTGATTGTGTTTTCCACAGAAAGGGAAATGTTGACTTGAAACAAGAATTTTATTCCTGTCAAGAGTGACTGGACTGTAAAATAAACTCTGTAATAGTTTAAGGTTTGTTCTTTTCTTTCCAACAGCTTTGGGGAATTGCTGCAGACCAAGGCCATCTGACTGCTAGTCATTCATGGATTGGACGAGAAGGCAACATTGACGAAGACCAACCCCCTTCACCATCATATTATCAGACATATGACAGGTTGTTATCACGGAAACAGACCATCAAATTCCAGAATAAGTTGACGTTCTTTCAGGAGAGAAGGCACTGATTTGAGAAGGAGAAATGTTCTGTTCTTTCAATCACTGTCCAGTGCTGCTGTGTTGTTTTTGGATAATGGACTTAACTTAAATTTCTTTGTTCTTTCTCTAAGTGTAACAAATCTATCCCTTTGAAGTAGCAATGGATTGTTGCCTAAAGCAGGGAGGCCAACTTTAAGATATTCTGTGATATTCCTCTTCCAGTGGAATCAGCTACCGGGACCGGATTCAGACAGTAGTCAACTGGTTGCACCTAAACCCATCAGAAAGGTTAACAGAATTTATAGAGAATTTTAAAATCATTGATTGCAGCAATAATTCATAAATATACACAGTTCAGTTTTTTGTGTTACTTCACACTCTGCACTCATCAACTTTTTCGGTGTACCGATTAAATACCTTTTTAATATGCCTGTTCCAACACATTTTTACAAGGTTTGTTCTAATTTCCAGGCCAGATTTTATTACAGTCTACTTTGAAGATCCTGGAGTAACAGTTCAGAAGTACGGCATAGAATCTGATCAGGTAAACAATCATCTTAACAGTTTCACAGCTGCAACAAATTGTTTTCAGGGTATAGAAGTGAAAAATGGATGTTCCAAAGTAAATTGTTGTTTCTGCCGACTGACTGAATAATCGAGCTATGATCAAGGGTGCATCGGTATCTGGTTTGACGTCTTGTGTGAGGAGATGATCCTTGTTTTTAAGATCTATTTTGCCTCTCAACAGACCATGGATAGCCTAGCTAAAGTGGACAGTGCAATAGGCATCCTTCTGGACTCCCTGTTTGAGGAGATGGATCTTGGCTGTATTAATGTCATGGTTGTATCAACAGGTGGATTTGCTGACAGAAACTGTGATAGGACCTACTATCTTATTGATGTGAGTTCTAAATTGTTTATTGTTGTGGAATGCCTGATTTTTTGTGTAAAATGAAAATGATGGTCTTAAAATCACAAGGCATAGCTTCCTGAGTATATTTTCTGAAGACAATGTGCATTTTTGTTCATCTCAGGACTTGCCCAATGTTGGTGATTTCAGTTTGCTTCCTGATTCTGTTACGTCTGTGGGTAAGATAACTGCAACTGACAGAGGTAAATTGGGTTTAATTAAGTTCAGAGAATAATTGTGTTCATGTGGGTGTTTGCTTCAATACTGGCAGATTTGATTTGGTAACATTGTTTTGTTTATACTTACATGTAGCTATATAAATTATGCACAAAGTACATCACCATAATTTCAAAAGGATTAAGTTTTAAAGTGTCAAAAATCTGCAATTTTTATTTACTACAGCTCCACTAGAAATGGACACTGCAGAGGAAATTATGGAACATTTACAGGTAGGTACATATCCAACCGCAAAGTAGGAAAACATATATTCATCCCATTTGGTGTGAGGAGATCAGTGGGCAGGTACATGTTACTCTATCAAGCCATGTCTACATTGTCAAGCTTCTTGGAACCAAACCAATTGTAACCCTAATTTAAACTTTTATCCCATGCAGTGTAAAGTCAACCATGGGCAGGTGTTTACTAAGAGACTGCTACCTGTTCAGCTGCATGCCTCCTACGGTCTTCAATATGAAGATGCAGTTGTACTGATGGAAGAAGGATGGACATTTTCAAAGTAAGATTTCCTGTCAAAAGCATGAACATCTGTTGCATTAATCACACAAACAATTCTTATTTCAACAAGTACATTTAGAAAGAAACTTACTCATCTGACAAGAATTTCTGTTTGTCATACTTCTACTCCTCCTTTTTCTTACCTTCTGGCTACATTGTTCTCACATCTGTTAGTAAGTTAGTTTCATTTCTCCAATTCTTCTAGACAACAAGAAGGTTACGATCGTACGAACTGCAAAGGTGCCTCTGATGGGTTCAACCCATACAGCTCCAACATGCAGGTATTAGTTCACAAATGGACAAGGTGTATCTAGATTTCTTTAATATAAATTTTGCAAAACATCAGAAGCTCAATTGGCTTTACGTTGCAAAAAACCCGAGATTGTCTAAGGTTACTGATTCCTTTTCAGGGGATGTTTGTTGGTTTTGGAAAGGGCTTTAAGACAGCCAAGACAGTCCCAGCAGTCAGAAATGTGGATCTTTTTAACCTCATGGCAGGTAGGAATACTCAGTACTCACTCAGTTTTAAAAGACAAGGTATTGTGAAATATTAACTTAGTAACAGTAGAGTTTGTTAACCCTAATAATCCGTTGATCTGTTTACCATCACATACCATGAAATCCACGACAAAGGATATCTCAAGCAGCTGGAATATTCATTGAATGTTTGGAATATGGAACCCAAAAGTGCACAATCACTTTCAAAGTTTCCAAGTTCACCATTCATCCTGGTGTACAGAACTCGTCAATGTGACTCCAGGAGAGAACAATGGTACAGCAGGCATTTTCAGCAATGTCCTGACATCTCCTAAGATGCAAGACACAGTTGCCGTGGAGTTCTCATCCCCAAGAAATGCAGAATGCAGTTACCCAGGGAATGACAATGAGTATGATCAAAGACAGCTCGACTCTGATACAGGTTGTGTTTGCACCCAAGCAGTCCTAAATGTAAGTTTTTGAGAAAGTGACGGACTTCATCAGATTTACAATTTTCTGTCAGAAGAAAATGAAAAAGTGTCATTGTACATGTGAGAAATCAAGTTATCAGGTAATGCCATTACTAATGAGACATACAATTTTAAGATTTAACATGGCTGTTTTCTGAAAAAGCATTATGGAATGACTGTGTTGTTTCTTTACCTATGAAAAAAATGTCTTCTTTTCTGTACATCTTTTGCACACATTGACTATGAAGTATCTGTTATTAGATGTCACTTTTCAGTCTTACCCAGAAACCCGAGAAGTCACACTGAAGGATATAAATAACAACCTCAGACAAACAAATGGTAAGCACCAGTCAGATTATTTACATTTTGTCGCAGTGCTGTAACACATTTGAAGTGGTTTGCTCTGAGATCAAAATTTCCTTCTTTCATTGAAAGTCCCTGTTCATTAAAAGCAACAATCAAAGATTTTCTGATTTTTATCATCCACCAGCATGCCAACTGAGATTGGATAAGTCAAAGAAAGTTCTTTTGTACCATTTTTAGTGCCAGCTTCCAGGCAAAGAAATGCTCCCTTTGGTTTCCCAAGGATCTCCAGGAATGTCGGTTCTACAGGCCAAGATTACTGTGAGCTGTATCAGTCAAACTTCATCACAGTCTACGAAAACAAACTCAAAATTCCACTCTTTGCTACCTTTACTGTACAAAGAAATGTAAGTTGAAATGAACATTTTCTTGTTTTATTCTTATTGATTCTGTTTCTAGTATGACATATATGACATTGCACCATGAACAACTCCATCTTGTATTCCTTAACTTATTATGTATTACATTTTATTTGTTTGTTAGTCTGGCACAACAACACTGATAGGAAACTGCCTGCGATATGACGTTAGACTACAACCGGATAAATCACCGAAATGTTCAAACTATGACAGTAATAGCAATCCACAACTGCCCATCAACATAGTGCAGGGATTATTGTATGATCCATGTAAGTTAAATGATCTAATTTTTTATTCTCTTTCGGTGTTTATGTCTGTCATAGTTTCATTTTCTCAGATAAACCATTGATCTGCCTTTCATTTTTTTTGTATTTAAACATAACTTATTGAGAATAGAAAAGGGACTTTTTTCCAGACGATAGATTTTAGGACAACTCACAGTTAAACAAATGTCTCAGGATATGTCTCATTTGTCATCTGTTTTCATTTCAACTTTTTCAGCTTTGGCAGATTCAGTGAATGATGAATTGAATGCATTAACGTCAGCCAACATCATACCTCAGTATGCTGCTTTCCAACAAAGTAAGGAGACTTAACTCTTCTTTAAAGCAAGAAGAATGCAGCGCCAGTACTATTACATCAATGAAGAGTAGATATCTGTGCAAGAAAACGTGCAAGACATGAATTTATTCAAAAAAATAATAGGTGTGACTTATCAACTTCACATTTTGAGCAATTATCAGCCAACTGTATCTTAACTTTGACTTCACTTCCAGATGTGTGGTTGCCATTGGCTGCTAGAATTCGTCAATGGGCCAATCAGAGCAATCGATCACTTGAGATGAATGTTGTGGTTGGTCCAGTGTATGATTGGAACTCTGATACTTTACAGGATACTTACAAACAGCTTGCAGCAAGGTAAGTCAAAAGTAACTTGAAATGCAACCAAATGGCTAGGTTGCAGTAAGGAGACAAATTATTATTACCACTCATGGGTCATTAGGGAGACATTCCCATAAGAACATGCACAAAATTTTTCCAACTTTACTGTCCCATAATTCAATATTCCCTAATC